AACAGATGGTCTATAACAGATGTTGTTGTAACCTCGGTTTTGGCTTTCAGTCTGCTGAAGTTAATTTTATTTATTTATTTATTTCATGCACTTCTACCCCGCCCTTCTCAACCCCCGAGGGGGGACTCAGGGCGGCTTACAAAAAGGCACAATTTGATGCCGGCACAATAACAAGGTAGAAAATAAAAAATAAAACAAATAAACAGAAATTAAACAATTAAAACAATTAAAACAATCAATTATATATCACAGTCCCTAAAAACAATCTAGTGCTCAACGTTTATCATCTCAGAGTCCATAAATTCAAATTCCACATTGTCCAATACAACAATTCTGGTCGTCGCTTGTGCCTTATCTATCTGCCAGATTACCCGAAGGCCTGGTCCCAAATCCAGGTTTTTAATTTCCTTCTAAAGGAGAGGAGGGATGTCGATGACCTAATTTCCCCAGGGAGTGAGTTCCACAGGTGAGGGGCCAACACCGAGAAGGCCCTGCTCCTCGTCCCCACCAATCTCACTTGTGATAGAGGTGGGGCCGAGAGCAGTGCCTCCCCAGAAGATCTTAAACTCCAAGGCAGGACGTAGAAGTTAAACAACTTGCTATCTGTCAGATAGATGATTTCCACTCCGGTGGGAAGCTTCCTATAACAAGATGTAGTATCATAGCGATGATTATGGAAATAAGGTTGGGACAATAACACATCCCTGTTTGACACCTGATTCCACCTTAAATGAGTCACTTTGGGAGCCATTGCTGTCCAAGACTGTTGCCATGTCATCTTGGAGGAACCACAGGATGTTCACAAATTTGTCAGGTCACCCAATTTTTTGGAGGATGGTCCAGAGAACCTGAATGTCATGCACAGAGGTTGATTTTGTTCCCTGCATTTTTCTTCAAGCTGTCGTGCAGTAAAGATGATGATCTTCACTGATCTTCTCTGCATTAACATATTATGTCAGAAACAAAGTTACGATTAAATAGAAATCCCAGTGGGTCACATTATGATCATGACATTCATTTCACCTCTGCTTAGGACTGCAATTGGTCTTAGTAAGTTAAACAAGCCTAATTTTGTCTCTGACTCTATATTTGATTGATGTAGTTTGGGCATTTTACTTTCAGTAGGTCTTATATTTTATGGAATTAATGATAAGATGCGGATAAGATACAAGGGATTTTGCCCCGTAAGATGCTAGTTGTTTGTCTTTCTTCCCTATGCTCTCAGTTTTTCATTACTGTTTTAAAAAAACAGACATGATGAAAGTCACTGCTAAAGGAATCCTTTTCATGCATAAATGTATATTTTTGTTTAGCAAATTTTTAGTTGACCTTCTGTCTCATAATATTATCTCTCTGTGGCCTCTGATGCCAGGCTTTGCCTCATATAGGAACGAAAAGCAAATGCAAGGAAGGGAGAAAACAAAAGCAAACAGATATTATGATGTCATGGAAGAGGGTGGGATCTCTTTTGGGTGGCATCAAATATACATTATTTCAAAATGTTCCTTCTCTACCAAAAATAGTTGTCCTGGGGAGACCGAGGACAGAAATAACAGAGGTATTGCTTGCATTTGAAAATAAGCTTTTTGACATGTTTACAGAATGCAATTTTACAATTCTCTATAGCTCAACTCCTGCCACCTTTATGGGATTCTTTCTTGCCTGGTTTCAAGAGATTTTGGCAAGAAGTTTGTGAGTACATAGCCTGAAGATGAGAGAAATCCAGGAATCCAGTTATTAGAAATTTAATAGAGTTTTAAATGAGAATGTCTACTTGGATATATTGGAAATCAAAGGCAGGAACTCATATTCCCTATGAGTAAAAAGAATCATGTGATGCCCTTAGCTTTTTAGTTAAAATGTGTGATGAAGATAATACATGAGTATCTTACCCCTGTTTTCCAGACATTTTATAGCTGACCTACTTTTGGCTAGTGGTAATCTCTTATCCCTTACTTTTTGTCATTGAAGATTGCTGATTTATTAATCTCTGTGCTTCAAGGGCATTGGAAAATTGGATGTAGGGAACAGAACACAATTGTGAAAAGTAAGAAATACTGTATCAGATAATATCCAATTAAAATATAGCCAACACAGCAAGAGAAACTGGAACTAGGGTATATTGTTCATGTAACATAATACATTGTGGCATTAGTTGGAAACAAAATAAGTGCGAAACGGATCCGCTCCCATCCCATCTAATTATTAATATCGATATTTTATATTAGGATGAGAGAGACGATTGAGTTGGAATGTGTCATGTTCCAAGGCCATATAATGATGGGATCAGGTTGAAGAGCAATAAAGAAGGAAACGTTAAAGCTACCCATTATCAAAGAACGTATCACATGTTTAAGTGAAAGCTTTTGCAAGTGACACATAAGTATAGCCTGACAAATTGGTTTTTTACTTCTATGGAGCAATGGCATGTGGTTCAAGGCTGTGATTATACTCTTGCCCTGTTGATTCACAGTGCTGTGAGAAACCGTAGAAGAAAAAAGCTACTGATTCAAAAGAATGGAGGACAGGTTATACATGGCCCCCATATAATAGCAATCTGTAAGCAGTGCATAAGAGTCAGTTTTGGATTTGGGACCTACACTTTCTGTAGGAGCTTGAATGTGTGATCTGAGCCTTTTTGTACATGTGTCAATGGCCATGGAAATAGCCTACCTTACATACTTTATTTACACCTTTGACATGGCTAAAGGATTCATGTAGGAGGAACTTACTTGTGTAAGAATGCGCATATTTTAGGTTCCAGTGTGTATTACTGTGTTGCAAGGAAATATCAATTCTCACTGTGCATCCTGCAAGCATCCTCTAGGTGCATTTATACTGTAGAATGAATGCAGTTTGACGCCACTTTAGCTGTTATGTCTCAGTGCTGTGGAATTCTGGGATTTGTAGTTTGGTGAGGCATCAGCACTATGTCACAGTGAAGGCTAATGATCTTAGAAAACCGCAGCTCCCATATTACCATAGCATTGAGCCATACCAAGTGAAGTGGTGTCAGAATAAATTAATTCTAAAGTACATATTCACCCTACGTGAGAATCAGCCTGCAAAGTGTAGCATCTGTTTCAGAAATTCAGACACTGAAAAACACTTACTTGTCCAGTATGGGATAATTGCTTAGGCAGCCATAGTAATACCAGGGAACTTGCAACAGAAAATGGTTGATTTGCAAAGGTTTTGTAGTGGATTGCACATAGACCAGCAAAGGTCATTCACCATGCAAGGTTAGCTAATCAGTGTTAATAGAAGGGGTTGTTTTCCTGATTTCAGATCCCTGTAAAAAGCAACAACTAAAAGTTCTGTTTCTTCAGTAAATTTTACAAATAATTTTAATTTTGTTTTGCCATACTTCAGTCACTGAAAAACACAAATGTTTGGTTGTATGTGTGTAGTTGAGCTGAAATGTCTATAGCAATCCTGCAACAACAAATCAATGCCTGTTTGCTAAAGGACATTATCTAAATTAATTGACTATCTGGAGTATTTTAGTTCTGTTAAAGATTGTGCTAAACTCACACAGATTGAAGGGGGAAACAGATGGAGGAAATCTTGCTAACATTCTCAAGTTTATATTAAACACCCAGATGACATTCCCTTTTTTTCACAGAATGTCCAGACCAGTTCCCAGCACAAAACTACCTCTTCCTAAAGGCTGTTCTTTTTAATTCAGGATAAATTGCAATATTAATCTTCCATATTTTTTCCAGGAAGCATGGGTTGCTGGTTTAAATTAAGAGTATTTCCATTTTCTGTTCTGGGTGGAAGGGGAACAAAGTGTTTTTGTGCTAGAATAGTAACATTTTTGGAACAATGGATATTTTAAAAAGAAGCCATGCTCATCCAAGTCTCCAATTAAATGTTATCAAAGACACAGAAAATATCTCTAATTGGCTATAACATTGCCTACCCAACATCTTACATGCACTCCCCTTTTCTTAATACCAGAATAGGTCACCTTTTAACAACAACAACAACAACAACTTTATTTTTGTATCCTGCCTCCATCTCCCTGAAGGGACTCGGGGTGGCTTACATGGGGACAAGCCCGAACAGACATAGATTAAAAACACAATACAATAAAATAAAACAACATCATAAAACAACCAATAGCCTGAACAGTAATACTGAACTCAGAGGGTAGGAGCTTGTGCAATATAGTTTCAAGATGGGCTGGTGGAAAAGTGCAAGAGTTGATAATAAAGTAAGGCTAGAAGGGCAATGTCATTTAGAATGGCAGATCTATAGGGCAGGGGACAGTGATAAAGTACAGAAGCTGATTGTATATTATAGTTGGGGGGGGCAATTTTCTGGTGGTTTAATCATAGGCACAGTGGAACATCCACGTTTTAAGGTCCTAGTGAAAAGTGGACAGGGTGGGTTCCAGTCTAATCTCCCTGGGGAGAGAGTTACAGAGCTTGGGGGCCACCACCGAGGAAGCCCTCTCTCTCATCCCCACCAACCATACTTGAGACCGAGGTGGGAACGAGAGAAGGGCCTCCCCGGCTCAGGTTCGTAGGGGAAAATGTGGTCGCAAAGATAGGCAGGTCCTGAACCGTTTAGGGCTTTGTAGGTGATAACCTGCAACTTGAAGCCATTCTGTAGTGAGCAAGCTCTTTCAAAAAATTAGTTTTAACAGACCCATAGCCTGTCCTTTTCACGCCTTTCTGCCTGTTGCACAGGTGCTTAAATCTAAAGATCTTGACTTATGTTCTCTATTTTTCTAACCAAAGGGATGCCTTCCCTACTTACTTCTCTATTTCTCCTGCAATATTGAACAGTGTTGTTAGAAGCAGAACTTTCTTAAATTATATAATTTTGTTTAACTTCAAATCTCAAATCCCAAAGGGAGAAAACACAATAAAAGTTTGATTTCCTATTATTCAAAAAAACCTTTCTTCAAAAGTAATTTCTGTTAGATCTCTCTTACTCTCTTCTCCAGTGTTATTTCTTAGTGAAAAAGATCTTTGGTTTTTGTCTTACAGAGAAGGCATTAAAGGAGAATGCTGTCAAATATATGGAAATTCTAGAAGCAAAATTACAAAGGTAAAGGCAAAACACAATTTCAAAAATATTTAGGGAATATGTAATGTTAAGTGTGCTGCTGTGTATGAGATTCTTTGAACTTAGTTATACTTTGCTATTTATTTTTATTACTTTTATTAATCGTTTGGATCTAATAGGGAGCTTTGGGATAACATGCTTCACAATTTTTTTAAATTAATGCTGTTTTTAAATATGATAAAAACAAAATTGTATTTTTACAAATTGTCCTGAAATTAAGTAAGCTAATGTGTGGGTGAGTGCCACCCCTTTATCCCATTACTTTTCTACCAGGTGTGAGATTCTCCCTAAACCCACTGGACATCAACTGCCACCAATAGTGAGAATTTCCTCAAACCTCACTGCAGTCCTCTCCTCCTGTTCTGCCACGTGGCTGCCAACCGTAGAGACCTATGAGATGCCTTCAAGCATCCTCTGTTGGAAATTATACAAGTAATATTCCCACTGGACACCAACTCTCTCTTCTCTACTGCCGCCACAGATGCCATACCTGAATGCAATCTTTATATATAGCATTTTTATATATAGTGAAGACCAAAAGCATGGTATAGTGGTTTGAATGTGTGCTAGAATCATAGAATCATAGAATCAAAGAGTTGGAAGAGACCTCATGGGCCATCCAGTCCAACCCCCTGCCAAGAAGCAGGAACATTGCATTCAAATCACCCCTGACAGATGGCCATCCAGCCTCTGTTTAAAAGCTTCCAAAGAAGGAGCCTCCACCACACTCCGGGGCAGAGAGTTCCACTGCTGAGCGGCTCTCACAGTCAGGAAGTTCTTCCTCATGTTCAGATGGAATCTCCTCTCTTGTAGTTTGAAGCCATTGTTCCGCGTCCTAGTCTCCAGGGAAGCAGAAAACAAGCTTGCTCCCTCCTCCCTGTGGCTTCCTCTCACATATTTATACATGGCTATCATATCCCGTCTCAGCCTTCTCTTCTTCAGGCTAAACATGCCCAGCTCCTTAAGCCGCTCCTCATAGGGCTTGTTCTCCAGACTTTCTTTTAGTAGCCCTCCTCTGGACACATTCCAGCTTGTCAATATCTCTCTTGAATTGTGGTGCCCAGAATTGGACACTATATTCCAGGTGTGGTCTAACCAGAGCAGAATAGAGGGGTAGCATTACTTCCCTAGATCTAGACACTATGCTCCTATTGATGCAGGCCAAAATCCCATTGGCTTTTTTTGCCGCCACATCACATTGTTGGCTCATGTTTAACTTGTTGTCCACGAGGACTCCAAGATCTTTTTCACACGTACTGCTCTCGAGCCAGGCATCCCCCATTCTGTATCTTTGCATTTCGTTTTTCCTGCCAAAGTGGGAGTATCTTGCATTTGTCACTGTTGAACTTCATTTTGTTAGTTTTGGCCCATCTCTCTAATCTGTCAAGATCGTTTTGAATCCTGCTCCTGTCCTCTGGAGATTGGCTATCCCTCCCAATTTGGTGTTGTCTGCAAACTTGATGATCCTGCCTTCTAACCTTCATCTAAGTCATTAATAAAGATGTTGAACAGGACCGGGCTCAGGACGGAACCCTGCGGCACTCCACTCGTCACTTCTTTCCAGGATGAAGAGGAAGCATTAGTGAGCACCCTCTGGGTTCGTCCATTTAACCAATTACAGATCCACCTCACCGTAGTTTTGCCTAGCCCACATTGGACTAGTTTCCTTGCCAGAAGGTCATGGGGGACCTTGTCGAAGGCCTTACTGAAATCCAGGTACGCTACATCCACGGCATTTCCGCATCTACCCAGCTTGTAACTCTATCGAAAAAAGAGATCAGATTAGTCTGGCATGACTTGTTTTTGATAAATCCATGTTGACTATTAGCAATGACCGCATTTGTTTCTAAGTGTTTGCAGACCACTTCCTTAACAATCTTTTCCAGAATCTTGCCTGGTATTGACGTGAGGCTGACCGGACGGTAGTTGTTTGGGTCATCCTTTTTTCCCTTCTTGAAGATTGGGACCACATTGGCCCTCCTCCAATCTGCTGGAACTTCTCCTGTTCTCCAAGAACTCTCAAAGATGGTTGCCAATGGTTCCGAAATGACTTCCGCTAGTTCCTTCAATACTCTTGGGTGTAGTTGATCTGGCCCTGGGGACTTGAACTCATTTAGAGCGGCCAGGTATTCCTGTACGACTTGTTTCCCAATTTGGGGTTGGATGTCCTCAAATCCCTCATCCACTCCGTCTTGCTGAGGTTGAAGATGACTTTCTTTTTGTGAGAAGACCGAGGCAAAGAAGGTATTTAGTAGTTCTGCCTTTTCCCTATCCCCTGTCAGCATTGCCCCATCTTCTCCTCGAAGGGGCCCTATCGCCTCCTTGTTTTTCCTTTTTCTACTGACATAAGAAAAGAATCCCTTTTTATTGTTTTTAATGTCCCTGGCAAGCCTGAGCTCGTTTTGTGCTTTAGCCTTGCGGACCTTTTCCCTACAGCTGTTGGCTATTTGTTTGAATTCTTCTTTGGTGATTTCTCCCTTTTTCCAGTTCTTGTGCATGTCTCTTTTGTGTCTCAGCACAGTTAGAAGTTCTTTGGACATCCATTCTGGCTTCTTTGCACTTGTCCTATTTTTTCTTTTTGTTGGCACGGTTTGCAACTGCGCCTTGAGTATTTCACTCTTGAGAAACTCCCATGCTACGACCCTGTAGACCAGGGTTCAGTTTCCCACTTGGCTATGGAAACCCACCAATTGGCCTTGAGTGAGTCACACAGGCCCCATCTATACTGCCATATAATGCAGTTTGGAACTGCATTATATGTTTACTGTAGACTCATATAATGCAGTTAAACTTTCTTTGAAAGTGATTTTCCTGCTTCTTGACAGGGGTTGGACTGGATGGCCCATGAGGTCTCTTACAACTCTGTGATTCTATGAGTCTATGATTGTATAATTCTATATATTGTAGTTTGATGCAGTTAAACTGCATTATATACATTTTGTAGTGCATTATATAGCAGTGTAGATGGGGCCCACACTCCTAGATCTAGGTAACCTTGTGATAGATTCACCTTAGAGTTGCATTAAGTTTGAAAGGACCCGAGGGCACCCAACAATAATGAAAAACACATAACACAAAGAACAGCACTTTATTTACAGAAGCTGAACAGAACAAAACAGAATTATAATTCAATATATTTAAGACACATCTCACATTCTCTCACCCACAGAAATTTAAGAGGCCTGGCTTCACACTGCAATCTCTAGTACTATGTGGGAAAAATATGTGGCTATTATATTAGATCATGTCTGGGTGTATTTATAGAAACGTATTTCCTCATATCTATCTATGTATTGCCCAGAAATTTGCTGGAGGCAATTGGAAATAGCGTTAAAGCAATCTCAAGCAACATTCTGGACTGCTGGGCAGGAAATGAGGCACCTTATTCAATTGCTGCATGAGAAGAAAATCTCTGACTCCAATCATGATCCTGGACTACCTATTTAGCCTTTCTGTTGCTGCAACTTTGCAGCCTATTCCTAGTGATAGGCATTTAGGGAATGCCCAAGACAGCTGGTACTGTTGTTAATGCTTTGAGAGCACTATCAGTTTTGAAATAGCTGGTTTCTAAAATATGTAGGTTTCTAGTATATGGAGCCCTCAGGGCCAGAACGTTGCTAGAGGAAGAAGGGGTCATCCAGGTTGTATCTGCTGATAGGCCAACTGTATCCAAGACCAGACTGTCCCCTCAGTTCCTGGTGGAAGGGTCAACTTATTCAAGGCACAACAGTAGAGGTGACGAGAAAAACCTGTTAAAAAGTCCCAAGTAGTTTCTCAAATTGTTATCCCCATTTATTTATTTTTTACTTTGTGTTAAAAAGTATTGCATAAATAAATAAGTTTAAAAATGATCAAATGAAGGGATCACAAGCAGCTAAATAGTTTTAGACCAAAAACAGGCAACTGTTGTACTCCAGAGCAGGAGTACTCACCTTTGGCTAAACACCACACAGATGGGTTAAAATAGCAAGCAGTTTATTGAGGATAATAAAAGCCAAAGCAATAAAAAGTAATCCACAGTAAAAGCTAATCCAATTGGTTAAAAAGAAACAGGAACAAATAGTCCAAAGAGAAATAGTCCAAAGAATTCCATGAAACTAGATACTAGATACGTAGGCAAACATCAGCTTGAACATGAACATCATTCTCATTCCCATCATCCAAAGCAACCTGATCATCAGACACAATACAACAGCAACAGCTACTGCATTGTCTGTAGCTTTAAACAGTTCTTCCTCTATCCATGAGGTAGGGCATCATGGATAGAGCAAGCATTAAGATGCTGAGTTGTTTGTTTTGCTCCACAATCACACAAGGTGGAGGATTCTTCTAGGTAGTTCCATTTTGCCAGGTTGTCTTTTGATCTGCCAAGTCCACTTCTGAGTCTGTTCAGGGACTTCCAAGTTGCCCATTCTTAGTTTGTCCCTGGAGGATTTTGTTGCCCACAGAGATATTCTTGCTGTTGCTGGAGGAACACTTAGAGGAGTGATGGTTCTCACGAAACTTTTCCTTGATTTAAGTCTACTGGGAGGAGGCTGATAGTCATACAGTGGGTGGCTTTCACAGTGCTCAATCTTATTTCTCTTGCAATTGGAAGCAACTTCCCATTGCACATTGGGGGGGGGGGGGGGCAATGCCAGCTAGCTTATAGAGTCTATCAACAGGTGTAGGTTTAAGACATCCTGTGATTATTCTACATGTCTCATTCACTGCTATATTCACCTGGTTTGCGTGGGCAGATTTATGCTAGATGAGGCAGGCATACTCAGCAGTTGAGTAAGACAAGGCCAGGGATGATGTTGTTATTAATTTTGGGTCTGCACCCCATAGCTTCAAGGACTCACCAGGGCCAGGTGTGAAGACATTAGCAACTCTGTAGCGAAATGTGTTTTTAACTGAAGTTATGTAGTGTATTCTATATTTAATTTGTTTTTAATTGAATTGACTTAATGTTTTTAAATGTATGCAAATTGTTGCTGGCT